GTTTGGGGAAACTGCCTGGGGTCTGTGGTAATCCCCCTTATGTATGCTGGGAGGCAGTTGAACAGTCTCGGGCCCTGACACTTATTGTATGGTCTCTTAACGTGCTAGTGACACCCCTGCTTTTCTTTGGGGGGGATGTTGCATCGTCTGCCAAGTCTTTTGCTTTCGTGTGAATGATTTTCGTGTGCAAGTTGGGTACTAGTCCCTCTAGGATTTTCCAGGTGTATATAATCATGTATCTCTCCCGCCTGCGTTCCAGGGAATACAGGTTTAGGAACCTCAAGCGCTCCCAGTAATTGAGGTGTTTTATCTCCGTTATGCGCGCCGTGAAAGTTCTCTGTACATTTTCTAGGTCAGCAATTTCACCTGCCTTGAAAGGTGCAGTTAGTGTGCAGCAATATTCCAGCCTAGATAGAACAAGTGACATGGTATAGATAATAATAATAATAATAATAATAATAATAATAATAATAATAATAATAATAATAATAATAATAATAATATTTTTATTATTATTTTTACAATAATAATAATAATGATAATAATAATAATAATAATAATAAAGTAATATATATCTATATTTCTCATGAGTAAAAATGAACCAGATGTTCAATTTCATATATGCACTGAAATACATCAGGTTTCATACCTCCTCTGGGCCTCTCATTGTTTTCACTGCCAACAGTGACAACATATCCTTGTTGTTGTAGTTTGAGAGACCAGTGTTGCACAATGTGTTCAGAAGTGTCAGAGCAGGAGTCCAGGAATATAGACACCTCTACAGTCAGTGTGTGTTGCTGTCTTAACACACTCGCCAAGCATTGTTCCATCCATAGACCAGCATTATGAACTGGGATAACAATAGACTGAAAAATATCACATATAAGTATTAACTATAGCACATATACGACTATATATATATATATATATTATATATATATATATATATATATATATATATATATTATATATATATATATATAATATAACAGGACAAGTCACAGGGGGGGTAGAAATCTTTAGCTCAAGTACTTTCACACTTCCCAGTGCGTCATCAGGAGCTGTGCAATCTTGCAAGGGAGCAACCAAAGTAGGGAGAGAAGTCTCAGAGGTCCATGGTTACCCTTTGTCTAAGGGTAACCGTGGACGGTGATACCTACGCTACTCTGAGACCTCTCTCCTGCTTTGGTTGCTCCCTTGCAACATTGCACAGCTCCTGATGACTCACTGAGAAGTGTGAAAGTACTTGAGGTAAAGATTTCCACTCCCCTCCCCCGTGGCTTGTCCTGCATAGTTAAGATCAAATATTCTGCGATTTGTTTGCATGCATATATACATTACTATATATATATATATATAAAATATATATATTTTATATATATATATATATAAAATATATATATAAAATATATATATATATATATATATATAAAATTTTATATGCAATAAGATCAGAGTAAACAGGTGATATCACAATACGCAAAATTAACCACAGTAAAAAAAAGTGAAATTCCAAGCGCTTGGAATTTTACCATTTTTTCACTTTGGTAATTTTGCGTATATGTATACTTACCTATTGTGGTTGCAATGGTCGAGTGAGTGTGTGTATGTGTGTTCGTTTACAGCAGCCTTAACGCACTTATTCACAAAGCTTACAATAGGTTGATTCTACAACCAGCACTTCTCTGAGAAGACTGTGTCATCAGCACCAAGTGTGGCTCCATGTCACATCCCATCCAATTACATCTATTATCATATTTATTTATTTATTTATTTATTTATTTGAACATGATACAGAGAAGTACAAGGAATACAATTCTTAAAGTGCAACATGCCAAAGCCCCTTGTATGCAGAGCATTATGGGCAGGCTTAAAATTAACTTAAGATTAACTAAGCAATGATATATTCAGTGGTACAAAAATTATTGTAGAACAGATAACAATTTAGTACAAATGAGTATTACAAAGACAGGTCATATGGTCATTTACTGTGTTGCTGTGTAATCAGTAGAATGGAGTATTCTGTTAGGTAATGAAGTTAAGTAGTAACAAAGTTTGATTGGGTCACAGGTTGACATTTATGAGATACAATAATGAGACATATATGAGATACAATTATTCAGTATTTATTTAGTTGTGGGTAAGTGATTTTTGAGAAGAGACTTGAATTTATAAACATGTAGTGTTTCTTTTATATTTACAGGTAATGAATTCCAGATTTTAGGGCCTTTTATGTGCATTGAGTTTTTGCATAGCGTGAGATGGACACGAGGGACATCAAAGAGTGATCTGTGCCTTGTGTTATGGTCATGTGTTCTGTTGAGGTTGGTAAGGAGATGTTTGAGGGGAGGGTTTATGTCAGAGTTAAGTGTTCTATGTATGTAGTAGGTGCAGTAATAAGTATGGGTGTTTTGTATTGTGAGTAGGTTTAGAGTTTTGAATATTGGTGGAGTGTGCTGCCTGTAGTGGGAATTTGTTATCATTCTGACTGCAGCCTTTTGTTGGGTGATTAGTGGTCTGAGATGGTTTATTGTTGTTGAGCCCCATGCACAAATTCCGTAGGTGAGATAGGGGTAAATAAGGGAGTGATATAGGGCCAGGAGGGCTGACTGTGGAACATAGCACCGTATCTTCGATAGTATACCTACGGTCTTGGAATTTTTTTTGGAAATTTGCTGCATATGTGTTTGAAATTTGAGTCTATTATCAAGGTGGATTCCTAGGAATTTTCCCTCTGTGAGTTTTGTGATAGGTGATCCGTTTATCATTATGTTGAGAGGGACATCTGTAGCTCTGTTACCAAACTGAATGAAGTAGGTTTTGTCAATGTTTAGTGTAAGTTTGTTGGTCCTCATCCAGGTTGATATTTTCTGTAATTCGGTATTTACAGTACAGGCTAGCATGACTGGGCTCGAGTGAGAGTAGACGTATGTAGTGTCATCTGCAAATAGTGTGGGTTTGAGTAGTTGCGATGCATTTGGTAGATCATTTATATATATGAGAAAGAGAAGAGGGCCTAGGACACTTCCCTGTGGGACACCAACTGTAATTGGCTGTGCGGAAGAGTTTGCCCCATTTGTGTACACATATTGGCTTCTGTTGCTGAGGTATGACTTTAGGTAGTTGAGAGAGTGCCCTCTTACACCATAGTGCTACAATTTTATATGGAGCAAGTCATGGTCAACTGTATCGAAAGCTTTACGTAAATCAATGCAGATCCCCAGTGGGACTTCTTTTTTCTCTATTGCTGTATAAATATGTTCTAGCATGTGGATAATAGCATCATTAATATTTTTATTAGGCCTGAACCCAAATTAACAGGAGTTGAGTAAGTTGTGGGAGATGAGGTAGGAATAGATACGCTTATGGATTAATTTTTCAAAGATTTTAGAGAGAGGGTGTAAGTTATCATAACCCCTCAAAGCCACATAGTCCATAAACCAAAGATAAATTGTAATGAACGACTGTCAATGAATAAACAGAAGAATGTACGAGGATTCGAACCCTGATCCATGCTTACAGCCAGGTCAGTGCTGTAACCACTCAGCTACACAACTAACAATAATAATAAATCCCACTTGTGACTTTACAAGTATAAATAGAACGGAAATTATAGGGTGGCCCGTGACCTGGTGGCTAAAGCTCTCGCTTCACATGGAGAGTGTCCGGGTTCGATTCCCGGTAAGGGTAGAAACATTGGGGATGTTTCCTTACACCAGTTGTTTATATTCCCCATCAGTAAAATGGGTAGCTGGGTGTTAGTCAACTGGTGTGGGTTACATCCTGGGACAAAACTGACCTAATTTGCCCGAAATGCTCAGCATAACAAGCGGCGTTCTATATAGTAGTATGTCATTGATGTCAGCTAGGACTGTATACCTTGTACATGTACTTGTAGATATAAAGATATTAATATATTATATATTGTATGGAGTTAGAGAGAGTTACAGAGAATTACAGGGAGTTATATGGAGTTACAGGTAGCTACAAGGATTTATAAGGAGTTATAGCATTACAGTTACAGAGAATTACGAGGAGTTTCAGGGAGTTACAGGGAATTATAGTGAGTTACAGGGAACCATAGGAAGTTATAGGAAGTTGCAGGGGGTTATAGGAAGTTACAATGAGTTATAGGGAGTTATATTGAGTTACAGGAAGTTATAAGGGTTTACAGGGAGTTATAGGGGGTTACAAGAAATTACAGGGAGTTATAGTTACAGGGAGTTATAGGAAATTACAGGGAGTTACAGGAAGTTATAGGGAGTTAAGGGAAATTATAGGGTAGTTATATGGAGTTACGGGGAGTTATAGTAAGTTGCAGAGAGTTATAGTGAGTTAGAGAGAGTTATAGGGGTTATAACTCATATACTCTAAAATAAATGCCACACAATACTTACTACATCAATGTCATTCATTCTTGCGAGCAACAATAACCTGAAAAATCATCACAAATGTTTAGTAATATTTAGTTTTATAAAGATTAATAAACATGAATAAAAATTTGTAGGATATAACTTAACAATAAATTTGTCTTCATTAATTTTAGTTACCATAGTTAGTGAGACTTTATAAATAGTGAGTACAAACTATGGACGCTTGAGGGAGAACTAAAGAACGTTTGAGGAAGAACTAAAGAACGTTTGAGGGAGAACTAAAGAACGTTTGAGGGAGAACTAAAGAACGTTTGAGGAAGAACTAAAGAACGTTTGAGGGAGAACTAAAGAACGTTTGAGGAAGAACTAAAGAACGTTTGAGGGAGAACTAAAGAACGTTTGAGGGAGAACTAAAGAACGTTTGAGGGAGAACTAAAGAACGCTTGAGGGAGAACTAAAGAACGTTTGAGGGAGAACTAAAGAACGCTTGAGGGAGAACTAAAGAACGCTTGAGGGAGAACTAAAGAACGTTTGAGGAAGAACTAAAGAACGTTTGAGGGAGAACTAAAGAACGTTTGAGGAAGAACTAAAGAACGTTTGAGGGAGAACTAAAGAACGTTTGAGGAAGAACTAAAGAACGTTTGAGGGAGAACTAAAGAACGTTTGAGGGAGAACTAAAGAACGTTTGAGGGAGAACTAAAGAACGCTTGAGGGAGAACTAAAGAACGTTTGAGGGAGAACTAAAGAACGCTTGAGGGAGAACTAAAGGACGTTTGAGGGAGAACTAAAGAACGCTTGAGGGAGAACTAAAGGACGCTTGAGGGAGAACTAAAGAACGCTTGAGGGAGAACTAAAGAACGCTTGAGGGAGAACTAAAGAACGCTTGGGAGAACTAAAGGACGCTTGAGGGAGAACTAAAGAACGCTTGAGGGAGAACTAAAGAACGCTTGAGGGAGAACTAAAGAACGCTTGAGGGAGAACTAAAGAACGCTTGAGGGAGAACTAAAGAACGTTTGAGGGAGAACTAAAGAACGCTTGAGGGAGAACTAAAGAACGCTTGAGGGAGAACTAAAGGACGCTTGAGGAGAACTAAAGAACGCTTGAGGGAGAACTAAAGAACGTTGAGGAGAACTAAAGAACGCTTGAGGGAGAACTAAAGAACGTTTGAGGGAGAACTAAAGAACGCTTGAGGGAGAACTAAAGAACGCTTGAGGGAGAACTAAAGAACGTTTGAGGGAGAACTAAAGAACGTTGAGGGAGAACTAAAGAACGTTTGAGGGAGAACTAAAGAACGCTTGAGGGAGAACTAAAGAACGCTTGAGGGAGAACTAAAGAACGTTTGAGGGAGAACTAAAGAACGCTTGAGGGAGAACTAAAGAACGCTTGAGGGAGAACTAAAGAACGTTTGAGGAGAACTAAAGAACGCTTGAGGGAGAACTAAAGAACGCTTGAGGAGAACTAAAGAACGCTTGAGGGAGAACTAAAGAACGTTTGAGGAAGAACTAAAGAACGTTTGAGGGAGAACTAAAGACGTTGAGGGAGAACTAAAGAACGTTTGAGGGAGAACTAAAGAACGCTTGAGGGAGAACTAAAGAACGTTGAGGGAGAACTAAAGAACGCTTGAGGGAGAACTAAAGAACGTTTGAGGGAGAAACTAAAGAACGTTTGAGGGAGAACTAAAGAACGCTTGAGGGAGAACTAAAGAACGCTTGAGGGAGAACTAAAGAACGCTTGAGGGAGAACTAAAGAACGCTTGAGGAGAACTAAAGAACGTTTGAGGGAGAACTAAAGAACGCTTGAGGGAGAACTAAAAGAACGCTTGAGGGAGAACTAAAGAACGCTTGAGGGAGAAAACTAAAGAACGCTTGAGGGGAGAACTAAAGAACGTTTGAGGGAGAACTAAAGAACGCTTGAGGGAGAACTAAAGAACGTTTGAGGGAGAACTAAAGAACGCTTGAGGGAGAACTAAAGAACGCTTGAGGGAGAACTAAAGAACGCTTCAGGGAGAACTAAAGAACGCTTGAGGGAGAACTAAAGAACGTTTGAGGGAGAACTAAAGAACGCTTGAGGGAGAACTAAAGAACGCTTGAGGGAGAACTAAAGAACGCTTGAGGGAGAACTAAAGAACGCTTGAGGGAGAACTAAAGAACGTTTGAGGGAGAACTAAAGAACGCTTGAGGGAGAACTAAAGAACGCTTGAGGAGAACTAAAGAACGTTGAGGGAGAACTAAAGAACGTTTGAGGGAGAACTAAAGAACGTTTGAGGGAAACTAAAGAACGTTGAGGGAAGAACTAAAGAACGTTTGAGGAGAACTAAAGAACGCTTGAGGGAGAACTAAAGAACGTTTGAGGGAGAACTAAAGAACGTTTGAGGGAGAACTAAAGAACGTTTGAGGGAGAACTAAAGAACGCTTGAGGGAGAACTAAAGAACGTTTGAGGGAGAACTAAAGAACGCTTGAGGGAGAACTAAAGAACGTTGAGGGAGAACTAAAGAACGTTTGAGGGAGAACTAAAGAACGCTTGAGGGAGAACTAAAGAACGTTTGAGGGAGAACTAAAGAACGCTTGAGGGAGAACTAAAGAACGTTTGAGGGAGAACTAAGAACGCTTGAGGGAGAACTAAAGAACGTTTGAGGGAGAACTAAAGAACGCTTGAGGGAGAACTAAAGAACGTTTGAGGGAGAACTAAAGAACGCTTGAGGGAGAACTAAAGAACGTTTGAGGGAGAACTAAAGAACGTTTGAGGGAGAACTAAAGAACGCTTGAGGGAGAACTAAAGAACGTTTGAGGGAGAACTAAAGAACGCTTGAGGGAGAACTAAAGAACGTTTGAGGGAGAACTAAAGAACGCTTGAGGGAGAACTAAAGAACGTTTGAGGGAGAACTAAAGAACGTTTGAGGGAGAACTAAAGAACGTCTTGAGGGAGAACTAAAGAACGTTTGAGGGAGAACTAAAGAACGTTTGAGGGAGAACTAAAGAACGCTTGAGGGAGAACTAAAGAACGTTTGAGGGAGAACTAAGAACGTTTGAGGGAAACTAAAGAACGCTTGAGGGAGAACTAAAGAACGTTGAGGGAGAACTAAAGAACGCTTGAGGGAGAACTAAAGAACGTTGAGGGAGAACTAAAGAACGTTTGAGGGAGAACTAAAGAACGTTTGAGGGAGAACTAAAGAACGTTTGAGGGAGAACTAAAGAACGCTTTGAGGGAAAGAACTAAAGAACGCTTGAGGGAGAACTAAAGAACGTTTGAGGGAGAACTAAAGAACGTTTGAGGGAGAACTAAAGAACGTTTGAGGGAGAACTAAAGAACGTTTGAGGGAGAACTAAAGAACGTTTGAGGGAGAACTAAAGAACGTTTGAGGGAGAACTAAAGAACGCTTGAGGGAGAACTAAAGAACGTTTGAGGGAGAACTAAAGAACGTTTGAGGGAGAACTAAAGAACGTTTGAGGGAGAACTAAAGAACGTTTGAGGGAGAACTAAAGAACGCTTGAGGGGAGAACTAAAGAACGCTTGAGGGAGAACTAAGAACGTTTGAGGAGAACTAAAGAACGTTTGAGGGAGAACTAAAGAACGCTTGAGGGAGAACTAAAGAACGTTTGAGGAGAACTAAAGAACGTTTGAGGGAGAACTAAAGAACGCTTGAGGGAGAACTAAAGAACGTTTGAGGGAGAACTAAAGAACGCTTGAGGGAGAACCTAAAGAACGTTTGAGGGAGAACTAAAGAACGCTTGAGGGAGAATAAAGAACGTTGAGGGAGAACTAAAGAACGTTTGAGGGAGAACTAAAGAACGTTTGAGGGAGAACTAAAGAACGTCTGAGGGAGAACTAAAGAACGTTTGAGGGAGAACTAAAGAACGCTTGAGGGAGAACTAAAGAACGTTTGAGGGAGAAACTAAAAGAACGCTTGAGGGAGAACTAAAGAACGTTGAGGGAGAACTAAAGAACGTTTGAGGGAGAACTAAAGAACGCTTGAGGGAGAACTAAAGAACGTTTGAGGGAGAACTAAAGAACGTTTGAGGGAGAACTAAAGAACGTTTGAGGGAGAACTAAAGAACGTTTGAGGGAGAACTAAAGAACGCTTGAGGGAGAACTAAAGAACGTTTGAGGGAGAACTAAAGAACGCTTGAGGGAGAACTAAAGAACGTTTGAGGGAGAACTAAAGAACGTTTGAGGGAGAACTAAAGAACGTTTGAGGGAGAACTAAAGAACGTTGAGGGAGAACTAAAGAACGCTTGAGGGAGAACTAAAGAACGTTTTGAGGGAGAACTAAAGAACGTTTGAGGGAGAACTAAAGAAAAGTTTGAGGGAGAACTAAAGAACGTTTGAGGGAGAACTAAAGAACGTTGAGGAGAACTAAAGAACGTTTGAGGGAGAACTAAAGAACGTTGAGGGAGAACTAAAGAACGTTGAAGGAGAACTAAAGAACGCTTGAGGGAGAACTAAAGAACGTTTGAGGGAGAACTAAAGAACGTTGAGGGAGAACTAAAGAACGTTGAGGGAGAACTAAAGAACGTTTGAGGGAGAACTAAAGAACGTTTGAGGGAGAACTAAAGAACGTTGAGGGAGAACTAAAGAACGCTTGAGGGAGAACTAAAGAACGTTTGAGGGAGAACTAAAGAACGCTTTGAGGGAGAACTAAAGAACGTTTGAGGGAGAACTAAAGAACGCTTGAGGGAGAACTAAAGAACGTTTGAGGGAGAACTAAAGAACGTTTGAGGGAGAACTAAAGAAAAGTTTGAGGGAGAACTAAAGAACGTTTGAGGAGAACTAAAGAACGTTGAGGGAGAACTAAAGAACGCTTGAGGGAGAACTAAAGAACGTTGAGGGAGAACTAAAGAACGTTGAGGGAGAACTAAAGAACGTTTGAGGGAGAACTAAAGAACGTTGAGGGAGAGCTAAAGAACGCTTGAGGGAGAACTAAAGAACGTTTGAGGGGGAACTAAAGAACGTTTGAGGGAGAACTAAAGAACGCTTGAGGGAGAACTAAAGAACGTTGAGGGAGAACTAAAGAACGCTTGAGGGAGAACTAAAGAACGTTTGAGGGAGAACTAAAGAACGTTTGAGGGAGAACTAAAGAACGTTGAAGGAGAACTAAAGAACGTTTGAGGGAGAACTAAAGAACGTTTGAGGGAGAACTAAAGAACGCTTGAGGGAGAAC